ACAAACGAACAGGCTGTACTGATCACGCATACCACATCTATACCGCAATGGCAACATAAATTGACGATTAAGTGCGAGACAACTGTGCACATTGCCGTGAAAAAACACCAGTTTATGGCATTTAAGGTTCTTAACATGTCGGACTAATTTGCTTTCTTCTATTTTGTTGTTGCAGAAGTTCGTGGGTTTCTATGGCAATGAGTGGGAGTTATATCATCATGACCTTAGTAATATATTTGCTTACCTTTCATATTCTTGTTAATATGTAGGTTTCTTCATCCTAAATAAAGACTACTTTGTGGTTCCACGACTCTTGCGGGATATTTGAGAAAACTTGGGGCTGAGCAACTTGAGCATGACTAGAGAAGCGACAGATGCAATACTCGTGGTGGCTACACTCATAGCAGCAGCTACATACCAGGCTGGTCTCAGTCCTCCCGGTGGTTTGTGGCAAGATAAGCATGTTGACGCGGTTTTGCCATCTTATCATCTCTATATGTGATCCTAACCCTCATTATTGAACTCCCTATGTGGAAGGTTAAGCTATAACTATCAATGTTTTAGCATCATAACTACACTATAATCCCGGATCCATATGACCTGTTTGGGTTTACCTGTGTGCATACCCATTTATAATAGGAGCCATGGTCTTCGCTACTTTCATGGCATACATTGTTGATAAGCCTCTCAGGCACCGTGTGGACTTCCGGGCTAGCTGCTTCAGCTCATCTCAGGAAAAGTGCTAATTTTCTGGTATCAGAAGTTGAGAAAAACATATCTATATCTTATACGACAAATTTGTCTAAAACCATATAGAAACCAAAAACCAAACAAATGTAGCAATCAAGCTTTTTGCTTCTGCTCAGATTTCTGAGTTCGCCGGGAAAATCAAAACCCGGGATGTGTTTGAATCCGTGGTATTTGTTTCTAATTTGTAATGTTTGCGTAAGAACCAAAAACCAAATTTTATTTGATATCAAAAAGACAAGGGAGAAGGAGATTTAGTTGTCGCCATAGATCCACTTCTCAGCGTTACTGGTGTAAGAAACAAGTTCTTGTGGCTTAAACCACAGATTGATCTCATCCTTTGCAGTCTCTGGTCCATCACTTCCATGGATTATGTTCCTGCTTAATTTTACATTTCAATTTACCAAATCTTTATTTATAATGTCCTAT